TGCTAAATTTTAAATAAGTAATTAACAGACTAACATTTTGTTCTAAATTTTAAATTAAGTAATTAACAGACTAACATTTCGTTTCGATTGATAAGTTACTTTTTCTTTTTATGAAGAACTTTCCACTTTAAACTTTTCAATTACAATTAGACATGTTCTTAAATTATTTATATGATAAGGTTGTAACTTACTCTCCATGGTATAATATTAAAATGAGAACATACCACGGTAAAAATAAGATAGTGCATGGTTCGGTGACGCCTCTAGAGACATTATCCAATTTAACTCATTGTCCAAACATTAGAAGGTCCTTTGAGGGATCATTATTCTTGACAAATTTGTGTTGGTGCCAACTATTAGGAATATAATTTATACCATTGAACTTTGCTTTCTCACAATTTTCTACTAAAAGTTCTTATCTACCTTAATTAATTAACATAAGTCACGGTAGATTGGAGTTTGAGAAAATTCACAATAGAACCACAAGAAAAATAGAAAATCGAGTCTTATGAAAACAACTTAATTTCACTGCTCCAAATTATCAAAAATGGACAATGTATACTTCTTTACTTCATAAAATCGGTTAATTTATTTTTTACTTCATAATCTTGATTCGAAAAATTATTTTAGTATGTAAATTAGGTTTCAAAAAGTGCAATCAAATTGGCATTTCTTAATAGCCCTAATCATTAATATCAGCAACTGCACCAAATATATGTATACTTTTATTAGGGGAAAAAAATCAAGTCAAAATATCTATTTTAAATTGATTTTTAAAATGTGTGGTTTTCATGCAAATTTTATTTGACTTTTTGGTAATTGGATAGTCTATGAGGAGTATTTGTTGATGATAATTTCAGGGCTTTTTTTTCCCCATTTTTGTAAAAATGAGTATGAAAAATATAGTCGTTATGGAACCCACACAAGATATAGAAATTCAAATTTGATGGCTTGATGTGATGGATAACGATCATATTTTTCATTTTAATGGGAAAAGAATGAGAAACAAACAGGAGCTTCATGTTAATTTTACGAGCATCTTTAGTACCTTAGGTGAGTTTGAATTAAGAACCAAAGAATCCTATCGAGTTCACCAAATATTTATGGAATGTACTCGAATATTTAACCGTATTGTGTATTGTGATTTCTTTACATTGTATTGATTATTACTCGACTTGGACAGTACCATTCGCCACATTCCAAGCCTGCAATATTTTTGATGTTGCATGCTTATGGATTCACAAGAGCACTATTAGATTAAAATAAATTAATAAACATGTCTTTCTCTCCTAATCTAACAAACAATTATTTCGGCCATACACGTTGTAAGGGTTCGTCATCACATTTGATTGCAAATCCCTTATTCGTGATTGTATTTTATTTTATTGAGGTCAAGCTTCACGTCTCCCTCTTAAATATGACACTCATTTTTAGAATTTTATTTATTTATTTATTATTTTGTAAGTCTAGTAGGAGCCCCATTATTTTTGAAGAATATATTTTGGAATAGTAAATTGATGGAAATGTGTGATTAAAAAATAATTATAACTTTTTTTATTTTTCATGTCATATTATTTTAATGAAAAATATATGATTGAAAAAAAGATAGGAAAAAATGGGAATCAAGAACCCTAACTAACATCATCATAAAACTTTAAAAAGTAAGAAATAAATAAATAGTCATCCTTTTAAGTAGGTAATCTACTTTTTCTTAGTTTTAAGTGATAGTACAAATTACTTTCTTTGAAAATATTTTTATTTTATTATCAAAATAAAATAAATCTTGTACAAATTCTTCTAGGCATTCTTGCACACACATAATGGTAACGAAAAAACCAAAAAAGAAAAATAAATTATGTATAAACATCACAAGTAAGTAAATAAAAATAACGGCAAAACCCATAAATTAAGCCATCCCTTAATTAAGATTAGCCGTGTAAAATGGGTTAATTAACTCTTACAGGTCACAATTCAATGGGAAAGAACAACAAACTGTGAGTGACTCTCTCTCTCTCTCTCTCTTTATAACTTATATATCTTCTAAACCGACAATCACACATTATTTAAAAAAAAAAAAAAAAAATTACAGCAATATGTACCCATTCATTATGCAGTAAATTTTTTCAGCATGCATAGAACTCCACCAGCTCCTCCAATGACTCCGGCTGAGGGTCACCATTTTCAAGCATCCACAGCAAATGTTCAAACATCACGACTTCACATCCAACGGTGATCGTGTCCTCGCCGTCGCTGGAATATTCCACCAGTTTTCGGAGCAGGGGGTTGTCCAAGACGTCCGAAGTAATCATATAGCGCCGCCTTGATTTGCCGACGTAAACGGGATGGAGATTTTTGGCGGCACTGGTGTGCAAGTACTCATCATCGTCGGAAAAGTTGTTGGTGGCAACAATAGAGCTGCTGTTGGTACGGCTAAGCTTGAAAGATTGCATTTTCTTTAGCACTGATTTCAGCTTTGAAAGTTTGCCTCCTTTTGCCATTTTTTTCCCCTTCTACGGGGATTGAGAGTAGAATAGGAATAATAGACAAGAAGAGGATTTTGGGTTTTTGGAGGGTTGAGAAAGAAGTTTTTAGTTTCGTTATTTAAAGAGGGGTGGTGGGGGTATGTGTGGAAGTGAATGAAAAAGATTAACGTAATAATATTTAACAGCACTGATGCCAGGGACAAAATCAGACGGACAAAAAAAGAAAAAGAAAAGGATATTTCTACTAATCTTATACACAGAAAAAATATATTTTTTCTTACACTAAAAATTAAACAATCACGCTACTTATCCAGAAAATATTTACATTTTATTTGACAGAAAAACACGTGGCATAAAGTTGTTGGCTTAAAAATAAAACAAATTTTGACAATTTTTTCCACCAATCAAAATCTACTAACTGAGATCTGTCAGAGTCGTTGTATTTTTATGTAGAAATGACATCTCAAAATCAAATGGACTTGGGGGATAGGGGCTGGACTTCAGTCCAACCCTGCCTTCCCTCTCTACGTCCTGATTGGTGTAAGCACCAGTCTAAATGGCATGTAAGTATCATTAATTAATAGATCATCTTTAAAGTCGGAAAATAAATTATGATCTTGTTTGAGTCACATTATTTAAAAAAAAAAATACATTCTTCAATGGTAATTTGACATCATTTCAACCACATATTCTTTAATAAAAATAATATTACACGCAAATTCAAAACATTTCCTTATTTTTTAACCACACATTTTCCATCAATATACTATTCAAAAATGCATTTTCATTCTAATAATGTAGCTCAAACAAGAGATATATTTAAAATGTCCAATCATTTGCATGACATTTAGACGGACACTCTAACACCAGTAGTGCTAGATAATATTTTTCAAAAGGAAATGGGACAGTGTTACATTAACATGCAGTTGCGCAGTTATACAGTTGTAAAGGAGGTGGAAGATCTGAGCCATCTGATCGGGGACAAAACCATTTGCGGTTCTTTGCAACTTGTATTCATCTACATTGAAGAATTGGTCCTTGTCCATTGTAGACAGACTATACTCGAATCATTTTCACATTGAGGGGTAAGTATGTAAATCTATCGAACTGTAAAAATTGCATGTTTATTATAAGGGTAATTATATTCTTAAAATTTACTTCACATTTTAATTACAATAAATATTCTTAATTTTACTTATTTTTCACTTTTGAACTTCTTTGATGCATTCTTAACAACCTATCTCTCACGATGATTTTGTCCAAATATTTTGTTAGCATATATTGAAATGTGGGATAAATATGTTATCAAATAACACACAGAAAATATAATTGAAACTAAATTATATTTTTGATACATT